TGTCCTCTGCTCTTGCCATGGCAGGACTTTGCTCCATTTGCTCATAGGTGAGGGAGTGAGCAGGGTTACTATAGACCCTACTGCAAAACAGTAGGGAGGGAAAAATTAATGTACTTGCTTAAAAAAAAGAAAGGAAAGAGAAAAGTCAGAGAGTAAGACTAATGTCATGCAGCTGGCAATCTAGTGAAGCAATTACCCTGTGTCTATGCAGGAATTCTTGTTTTTGAAACAAGGATAGTGAAGATGATAATTTCAGAGGAAAACATTAGGGGTTGGATCCAGATTAGGCTTGTGCAACTGTGTTGGCAGACTATTCTGCCCTGCTCCCCTTGGCAGGCACTCAAGCACCCTGAAAATGCTGCACAGAGAGCCAGAGATTGCTGAATTGGGTGGACTGTCATGGAGGAGGAGGGAGACCTCACACCAATGCATTGCATCTCCCACGAATGGAACCCTTCCATGCATGGAAAGCAGATCCAGGATCCAGCCCTAGGCAAGCAGTGCTATCCTTGTACTGGGTCTTTTCTGTATTCGTCAGTGAGACAGAGATGTGTGTTTGCTATCCTTAACATTCTCCCCTTGATTATGTGGGATATCTGCTCTTTAAACATTTTATATATGTTACAACTTACCAATAAAAATTCATAAAATATGTTCATCCAGTTTATAATGCATGGATATATTATGGATCTAACAGAAGAAGAGGGATTAGCATACTACAGAAAGATTTAGGAACTTGGGGAGCACTGCTTGCTAGCTGCCTGAGGTTATGGTGTAACCAATTCAGAATTTGTCCACATAGTTCACTTCCAGCTGTTGTGCGAAAGGACTACTCAGTCACAGTATTTTACAACATTGGATTCTAAATTATAGATGTTTAGAGCTTACTTCTGGATAAACTAATTTAAGATCAAACTCTAATTTCACAGTCTGATTCACAGTATGGTGATAAATCCTGTTAAAAAGAGCAAAACCTTATAAAGTAGGTTAAGGTTAACTTAAGGAATGTGGAACTTGTTGGCCTTCCAGGTGTTATTGGACTACAGTTCCCATCAGCTCCAGCCAGGATAACTATTGGTGATGATGGGAACTGGAGTCCAAATACATCCATGGGGTATTAGGTTCCCTTCTCCTAGTAAAACTGCTTCAGTGCCATGCCAAAAAAGAACAATCTTTTGCAGAATTTCAAACTGAGGGTGTTTTAGGAACAGGTATTCCATTGCTCAAATTCCTTGGTAGAAAGTCAGCAATCAAACCATGTTCCTGAACTGTGACAGGAAAATAACATTATTAACCCAGCAACATTTAAAGGGCCAAGCTCAGTACCAAGTAAGGTGATCTTGAGATCATGAGAGACCACATGAAGCAGTTGCTTGGCAACCATTCACATGAATCCCCCAGTCCCTTCCGATAAATCCAAATCTGTGCTAACATGGGGCTTTTAACCCCAGCAGACTAAGAGGAAGAGGCAGCAGGAGGCTCCCCTGGCATTTTCTTGGGTCAAGTGGCTGCTGGCATTTCGTCTTTCAGAGGAATGACATTTTGCTTCTGTGTGGTTAAGAACACAAGACGAGACAAACATTTGCTAGCAACAGCATTAGATTTATGACCACTGACTTGTCTTATCAACAGAGATAACTCAACTCACAGAGCAAATGCAGCCAAGTTTATATGTTTCAACACAGAGGCTGCCTCATACCAAAGCAGACCATTTGTCTATGGTCGTCATGGTAAGCCATGTCACTATCAAGATTCTGCACAAACATTCACTGTAGAATTTGGTATTTGACACTTTGTGTATCTTCTACGGGACATTACATTTCGAACAGGGATCCTTTCTAGCCTTAATGGCTGTGAAGAAAAGAATCCAAGCAGTGTCAGCCAGAAACTGTGAGGTGTGTTTTTGTGTACGTGCAAAATATGGAAGTCTGACACTGATCAGTATGGTGCATGATGTTTGAGTTTTCTCAGAAAGGAAATATATCCGGAGAGTATAAGGCAGACAGCTATCTGCTATAGTGCATGGAAACACTGTCCCTCGAATTCTTAAGCTTTTCTTAAACACGGCCTGAGCATTTCCTCCACATCCCTTAAGGTTAGGAAGGATCCTGTTTTAAAATGCAAACTAGCACAAGGGAAGTGGATTCTGAACTGTCTCTTGGCATATAATTTTATACTTCCTTAGCATCAGTTCGGGTTTTCTAGGCACGATTTGGATTCTTGTACAACCATAATAATCACCAGCCAGTCATATTTCAGGATTGAGAACCCAAGCTCTAGGTAGTAGTGCAGTAATCATGAGATATTGCCACCTTTGTATATTGTGTGGGGGGGTGAGGTAGTAGTCTTAAAAATTGATTTTGTCATTTCTTAGTCTAAAAGGACAATACAAAACAAAACAAGCATCCCTTGGAGTTCATCACTTTTAAAATTAAAAGAGTCTCATGTTTAGAATATCTGTCTGTGGAACATACATTCCTTCTCTGTGCCCTTCACTGTCATATTTTATCCCTGTCAGTTAGGGGCTTCATAGCACTAATACTTTAAAGTGTGGTTGCATCCTGGTCAAGGATTAATAATAATTATTATGCTCTGTTATTAAAAGGCACAGGGAGCAAAGAAATACGTGGGACCTTGGTCTCCCTCCACTCTTATTTACCTTCTTAGACAGTATGAAGTCTTGGCTTGGGGAGAGTCTGAATAGCAGACAGTCCTATTTGCTGCAATTAGGAAAACAAAAGGTAGAAGAGCCATGCTTTGGACTTCCTCCAGTTCCCATTATATTTAATGAAGCTTCTCTCTGTGACTTCAGTGGGGTGTTGCATTCAGGCCCTTGGTGAATTATTATTAGGAGGAGAGGATATGTATGCTGTTTCCAGTGTGATTTCCATGCCAGTGCCTTCCATTCACTTTTAAATGAAATAACTACTTTATGCAGTAGTGGAGATCTAATGATAATGAAAACAGCAGAAACAACAACAGCTGAACTGAAATGTTTGAGAAGTGTGACCAGCTCATTCTAAATAAGGTAGAGAGTGGTTTGTTTGTTTGTGTGTTTTAAACTGGGCATCAGTGGTTGCAAACATCTATCTCATATCACTTGATATCACAAAACTTCTATACCTTGGGCTATGGGGTGGCAGACAAATGCAATCAATCAATAAATCAATCAATCAATTTGCAACTGCTGAGGAGGTTTAGGTGACATGATAGGAGCACTATACTCTAAATTTAACCAAATTAGGATATATTCTGTAAACTGCCCAGAGAGTCCCATGGGCTACGGGCAGTATACAAATGTTATAGATAAATAAATAGATCTTTAAATCATCCTAGACTGGAAAGAGGAGACCCCAAGATGAGGGCCACCATAGAAAAGATCCTATCCCAGACACTTGCTAATCTTATAGCTCTTACTGGGGCACCCAAGAGCAGAGAGGGCCTCAAATGCTTTTCTTTTTGAAGACAGGCTTCTATTGGTACAAGCACTTCTTTAAATAAGGATTTGAGGTGTTTAAGATTGTTGAATGTGTAGTGCTTTATTCACATGTACAGAACATTATATAATGTTTCCATTGCCTGATGAACATACATGTGCAACTTTGCCCCTTATTTCTTTCCAAATACTACAGTAATATCTCAGCCTGCTCTAGCATTCAGCCTGTTCACCTTTCTTCGATTTTCCAAGCAGCATTTTTGGCCATAGCATAATCTTATCCAGGGGAGAATAACTACACTTCTGCCTATTGGGCAGGCTGGAGAGGCAAGACATTTCTTATTTGCCTTAGCCACTCATCAGCTTATAATGCTGGTTTAGAACATAATCAATATACACTGCCCATCTATACCCAGTACAGGACCATGTTTTAATATACTGAAACTCAGCATAGGCAGCACACAAGTTCCTGCAATACTGCAGCATATTTCTTCTGGTGAAGCAACTCAGGGTATGATGGAAGGGCAACAGTTATTAGCACTGTCTAAGGATTCCTGTTCAGCTAAAAATGTGATTTTCCTGTCTAGGAATTGGAAGTCTTATCTTCAGCTATGCATAGGCATAAGACCCAGAATGTTACAATTTACAGAGGAAGCAATTTTTTAAAACTCTGTACTGAGTGAAACATATATTGTTTTTTTCCACCAGAGATAGTAATATCAGTGGGTTGTCCCCAGTTGTTTCCTCCATTGAAGAAAGGCACTTTGATCCAATGGAGTATACTGGATCCAGTGGAGTATTTGGGGAGCATTAAGTTGGGAGCTGATTTCCTCAAATTTCCCTTTCTTGTAGCCTCCCTACACATTCTATCTCCCTCACTATTTGAAAAGATCTGTCAACCCTCTGGCATACATTTGGGGTAGAAGAAGGCTGCAGAGGAAAGCAGGAATCAACCGAAATAACCAGAGCCTTCTTCGGTTAAGGGGAAACATTTGGATATATTTCAATTCAACTAAATAAGCAGAAAATAGTAATGTACACACAGAAAGTATGCTTTCCATGAATTGCTCATGGGCATTATAGCCTGGATGATATAGGTAAATCTGCTGAAACAGTTCTTGTATGGAATTCCTGGTCTATGGTGAAAACAAGATTAAGGTCTAGTCAGCTTGCATTTCTGTAATAGTACTGAAGCCCCTGTGTACTCAATAATCTAAGTAGCATTTGTTGACCAATGCAACAGAATGAATCTTCCTCTGTGTGGTAGTCTGAAAGGCTAGTTGATACCTAAAGCCAAAATGGTTTAGGAGGCTGGTAGATCATTCAAATTCTGGGAATTTGTTCTGATGTTGCAGTCTGTTGCTGGAAAGATATATTATAAAATAGAGCTGAAATGGGGAAAATTGCAATGGGGAATTTAATCTTAAATCAATTCTTATGAGAAAGGAGGCCAGTAATGACCGTGTATAGATATTATTGTCTCATCTTCTAGGTAAGCCTCAGAATATCCAATAACTGTATCAGGATATGTAGAATTCTTATATACATATCTTCTTTCTTACAGGAAGTTTTATTACATCACTCTGCTGAGAGATCCTGTATCCCGTTACCTCAGTGAATGGAGACACGTCCAACGAGGAGCTACTTGGAAAACATCCTTGCACATGTGTGATGGCCGGACACCAACCCCTGAAGAGCTGCCATCATGCTATGAAGGCACAGACTGGTCAGGCTGTACCCTGCAGGAGTTTATGGATTGCCCATACAACTTAGCCAACAATCGCCAAGTGAGAATGTTGGCTGACCTGAGCTTGGTGGGCTGCTACAATATGTCCTTCATACCAGAGAACAAGCGAGCACAGATACTGCTGGAGAGTGCTAAGAAGAATCTCAGAGACATGGCCTTTTTTGGCTTGACAGAGTTCCAGAGGAAAACACAGTATTTGTTTGAGAGAACTTTCAATCTGAAATTCATCAGGCCGTTCATGCAGTACAACAGCACAAGGGCAGGTGGAGTGGAAGTAGACAACAACACCATACGGAGGATTGAAGAACTTAATGACTTGGACATGCAGCTGTATGACTATGCAAAAGACCTGTTCCAACAGCGATACCAGTACAAGCGGCAGCTGGAAAGGATGGAGCAGAGGATAAAGAATCGGGAAGAGAGGCTTCTTCACCGATCCAATGAGGCACTTCCCAGGGAAGAGACCGAAGAGCAAGGACGGTTGCCTACAGAGGACTACATGAGCCATATTATAGAGAAGTGGTAGCCTTGGCAGAATTTTTTACTGAGAACAGGTTATTAGAGTTTCCATAAGAAAAGAACGTGGAATTAAAAAAAACTATTATTTAAAAACAGTCTGTAAAACAGAAGGTAGAATGCTTCTTTAAACAAAGGGTCTTTTTACTGTTTCTTATAAGACCAGTGGGGTTCTTAATAAAAATAAATAAATAAAAAACAAAAAATAAAGAGTCAGTCCCAGAGAGCTCAACATTTAAAATGCACAAGAATAGGTCCCCCAGCTCTGAGGCCAAATGCAATGTAATGTTTGTATCCTTGTAGACGCAAATCTAGAGGTCATAAATAGTAGCTGTGTACCTACTCTTCTCCCCCAGCAAGGTCAATTAGATCTTCACATGTATCCATGTTTTCTCCCTTTCTCATGTGAGGTTTCCAATGATGAGTCATAATAATGGCAGTGAAGTTGCCAGACAATGGCTTCGCCTCAGACTTCAGGTGGAAGCCATAGTCAAAAAAGAAATATAACTGGAACAGCCAGAGGAAAAGCAGAGAACCAGAAACATCCAAGTAAGCAGTCTATGGCCTGGACCACATAACAAGCACAGAAACTTGGATATAAGGCACTGGTGCCTTGCATGCTCACACTCACTCTCACACATACTGCACTCCCCAAGCAACTGATGAATGTTTGCACAAATATTTCTCAGCCTTTGTGATACAACTTCTTGTCCAAAAGTCAATACCCACATAAAAGCAAACCTGGGCATTCATGTAAAAACCTCACATAGAGTTAAATTGGTTGTGCGCCAGTCCTTCAGTTTTAAAAGGAGATGGTCTACTAAGGCTATCGCACAGTTGGTCTCCTGCTTGTGCTTGCTTACGCTCAATGTATCCTTTTGTTGGGTTGGACATTTATTTAATCAGAAACAAATATCAAACATTGAAGATGCTCATTGTTTAGCTTAACATATTGTCCTCAGTGCCTGGGAGTGATATACTGTGAAAGTTAGATGCTTTTAAGGCCTGAATAGGGCTTAATTTGAGCTTTTCACTTGCACCCTTCCACTCCATTAATTTCAAAGGGATTTTCATGGAACTAACATTCACTGCAGTGAATGCCTTGCTTTTTTATTTTTGAACAACACCTTAGCATTTGGAATATTGGAAATCTTGACCAATTCTCAGTTTCATGCTCTGATATTGCTATCCTTTAATAACCACAGTGTTCCTTTAAAAAAAAGGCACCCATATAAACTTTAGTTTGAAGCGATTCCAATTATCATTTTATCTCCTTCATCCAAAGCACCTGTTTTTCTTTTTTTTCCTAAATGTATTCATGAGTTGGCCTGAAAGAGAGAAACAAAACAAAAGCAAATGGCATTTGAGCCTTTTTACTTATCATCACCTACCCCAACCTCCGCCCCGAGATGTACATGGCAAGGTTAGAGACTGAGTTCAATTAAGTTAGCAGCCAGTGTGATTCTCAAAGGATGGACTCACTGCATATCATAGAAAGTCCTGAAAACGTAAGGAAAGGCTAGCATATTTATTCCAGTGTGAATGTTAACACAAGGAACTATCTCACTCTGATTGATTTCTCTTTTCCCAGCCAACTCTGTGTCTGCACCATTGCCAAACTTCAAAATACAAACTGAAGTGCATGTTCCCCTTGCCCGCCCCTGGGAGGAGGTAGCCACGTTGCTTAATGAAATGTCTCCCTAATTTAAACACACACAGCTTGGTATTTCTAACTGTTCTGAATCAGTCAGTCAGCGATAATTACTTTCAATTATATGGAAAACAAGCCCCAGTAAAATGCAACCCCACACAAGTTGATTGAAAATCCTGCCCATGTTGGTTTCAGTGTTTATCTGATCTGCCCGAATAACAAATGCTCCTAATTACACAGATCCTGAAAAGATGTACAAGTTATTTAAGTGCTTGGCCAGATCTGCCTGAAATCCAGTGCCAGTCGTGTCCCTTGTACGTTCCTGTAAAGTGCTCCTTTGAAGAAGGCCTTCCTGTTTTTTGGGTATGCACAGCTGGCCATAAATGCGCACTTGAGGTTTAGGCAAGGAATTCTCATATTACTTGTTTGTTTGAGCATTGTTTTCCATTGGGGGAAGAATGCATGTTAAAAATCCTCAATTTGGGAATTAATGGCAGTTTGCTAATTCCCATGACACCTGTGCATTTCTGTAAGTCCTTTTAAGAGAATCTATTTAACATTTTGTTTACCAACAAAACATATGTGAGAGATAAGAAGCAGCTGTTCCGTATGCAGAACACGTAGCTAAAGGCTTCCCACTGTGTATTCATAGTTATGGATCTATAATATAAAAATGGTTGCAGCCATTAATACATATTCATAGTGTGAATACTAGAGAGCCTGCTGTATTATACTTTGTACAATTGGTAGCAAGTTCCAAGGGCCAAAATATGCTTCCACATATTGTGTGGTTAAAGTGAAAATTAAGTATTTATTCTTCATGTCTAAATTTAATTTCCACAAGAACTTGAATAAACCTTAATGGATCTGCCTGTGGAAACTCAAATTTCCAGGAACATCAGTAGTGGGCTTTCTCCAACATTTTCTATGTGTAATATTGTTATAATTACAAACTAAGGAAATAAAACTACTGAATATTGTTATCCACTTACATCTGCCAAAGGAAGGTGAGTTGCTGTGTGATCGTTTGTGTTCTGTCTCTATATTTGCAGCTGTAGAGGGTATGTGTGTCTACATTTCACATCCCAGCTCTGATAAATCACCCGCTTCCTAAGCTTGCCTACATTAAAATCCTAACCAGTTATGAAAAGTCAGCCTAGGAAACTTGTCATAATTCTTTGGACTGAAGTATCTTGCCTATGCAATAGGAATTCAGGGATCAACAGAAACACAGACAAGCTATGATTCCAAGTGTAGGAAGCAAAGAAAACTGGCCCAGGAGTGCACATAAAGTAAGGGCTAAAGCAGAAAGTGTGGTGAAACTTCATTCTGACACCAAAAGCCTTTTCTTGGGGCTGTAATTCTATACCCATTTACGTGGGAGTAGGTATAACTGAACTTAGTGGGGCTGACCTCTGAATTGACATGTATAGGATTGCCTTACTAGTTGGATTTTTTTAAGGGTAGTCTTTAACCCCTAAACAGTTACCCTGTTTAGAACAGTAATCCCATAAGTGATAACTGTTTCTTCGTGTGTTATCAGATGTTTCAAGAGCAGATGGATGCCACAGTAAAATCAAAATAAATGCATAGGTTAACACTTGCTGTACCAGAACTATTTACCCTCAGTGGGCCACATTTTTGCGAGACAGTGCACCATCCTTTCCAAGTCAACTTATTAATTGACTGAGAGCCCATAGGATCTGCACCATGCTGCTGGAAGGCTCCTGAAAACGTTAACAGCAGCCATGTAAAATCAGTGTGCTTATTCACCAGGGGCTGCAACAGGAATGTCAGAAGCACTTGAGCAGCACGTGCATCCTATCCACACACACTCTGCCCCATTGCTTACAGCATTCTAGGATTGCAGCCTTAGACTTTAAAGCAAAGAAGGATGTTGTGGTGCCAGCTAGCCACCTGTCCACCTGTGGTCACAGAGAAGACAGGTAAGAAATGGTTCATTATAGAAGCGTACTAGAGCCAGGGCTTTCTGCAGTCAATAATACTGGGTAAATATGAACCCAGCCTATGAAAACAGTTTTCATGGAACATGGAGCATTATATGTTGACTTGAATGCCATAGCTGAAGGACTATTTCTGGCAAAGTATGATGAATTATGCTTTGGGGTGATAGCACCACTAGATAAGTTAGATGGCAGCTTTCCCCAGCAATGGTAGCATAACACAGGAGGGCTTGGAAGGAAAAGGCAGGGGATTTTTGCTTTTCTTAGAAAGGATTAGACAATAGTTCCTAGGCATGATAGGGAAACAGAGCATTCTGGCTCAGGGTTAGTATGTATTTGAAAGGTAGGGGCGCCATAACAGTGGAGATCTGTAGACTTCCTATCCTATTTGTGGGTTTTCCAAAAATTTGGCTGATTGCTGATGGAAATAGGATGCTAGACTCAATGAAGCATTGATCTGAGTCAGCAGGCTGCTTCTTAGGATAGCAGCCTTTAATGTGCATGGAAATTGGCAAAGTGCCAGTGCATTTTGTGCAGAACTATTAGAAAGCAGTAACAAGATGATAACCTGTAAGTGCCCTGCCAGTAACATGGCATCAGCTGAAAGTTCTTGTGCCATATTAGTCTTTCAGTCTTCCTTTATCACACCAGATACTGTTAGATGCTGCCTTCGGTATGAATAAGTCTGCTCTAGCAATTTTCCCTTGGGCCTATACAGATGTAGGTTTTAAGGCTATGGGGAAAATGGAGCAACTTTGAACAAAACAGCATATCCACTTTGAAACTATGAAGATAAAGGTAACTGAATAAGGTAGAAGGGCTTAATTACATGGCTGTTGTGGGTCAAGTTCTTCAGGCTTCTACTACAGTATACTGTTGGTAGCAAGAGCTTGGATTGGGAGTTTGAAGCCCTTGGCTCTAATTGCTTCGTGCATCACTGACCCAATGGGCCCTTTTTTCATTCTGCTTTCTCTCAGGAGCATCCACCTGTGTGGAAAAAGCAGAGGAAGCCACAGGAAATCCATGCAACATTAGACCACTGTGGAGCATGGTAGGCCATGGGCCTCATTTCCAGGTCCAGCACACAGTTAAGTGTAACCATGGCTGTCGCAGCACACACACATACTAACATTTTTACAGATCTACCAGCAGAATATGGGAGAGAGAGAAAGGTCAGTGTCAGCCAGCGACCTATATGACTTCAGCTGAGCAATGCACTGACTTCACTTAACTGGAAAGGGAACACAGGTCAGTGGCAGAGCACTTGCTTTGCATGTAGAAGACCTCTATTTGAATCCCCAACATCTCTCCATTAAAGAAGGACAAGGTAGCAAGTTGCCCTAAGGACCTCTACCTGAACCCATGGAGAGCAGCTGGCAGTCACGGTAGACAATAGTGGGGTGTATGAACATTCTCTTGGCATTCTTGCCAGGGATCCCCTTACAAGCATTTGAACAGGGTCCTGGGAGGAGGGAAGGGACTTGCTAGACTAGCTGCCCACAGACACCCATGAAGTTCTTGATGTCTCCATGTCCTGATAAATGTATGCTTAATGCTATAACAATTTGGATTGCAATCTTTAGTGACTTCTCTGGGAACCAAGAGCAAAACAGTGCTATCAAGTATTATAGCCTACATCAAGAATTGAATGGACCTGCAGAAGAATTACCAGTTCAGATGTTCATCAGCCAAGCAAATATAATCTTCAACGTAAAGGCCACTTCTCAGGAGAAATTTCTCTATTTTATGTTCATGTCATCCACTGTCTTGTTTTTTTAAATGTTTCTTATGATGAAACACTTGTTAGCCTAACACCTCTTCAGATACAGGCTAAGCTGTTTGGCTTCAGATCTGCTACAGCAAAGGGTCACAAAAACATCTACAATATTACTCTAAGCCTCAGTTTGCATAATTCTCCAATGTGAATTATGTGCTCATTTGGTTTTTAGAGATTTACCCCTGCTTCCTTCACAAGCAAAAACTGTTGGGGTAACTCTGCAAAGAGTGTTCCTCTAGGATTAGGTGTATTTGCAACCTCAGGCACCTCACAGATCACAATTAAGCCTATATTGTTGTGAACCACCCAGACAACTTTAGCTGTATAAAAGCACTGTATAAAATTAGAATTAGTAATAATAATCCTGATCCTGTAGTACTTGGTTGAATAGCAGCCATAACATACTTTGCATCATGCAATGCTGGTGTAAGATCATCTCATGATGCACTGTACCTTTCCAGGGAAGAGGATGGGTTGGATCTTCCAGTTTAATCCTAAATCATCTGAACTGAACATGGATGATGTTCCAGTGCAGATGTGCCTTAACTGCAAAGAGGATGGCAGACTTATTACATGTTTATATAGTTTACAGTTAAGGGAAGTTCTCTGACCAGGTTTTGGATGCAAGGTTGAGAGTTTAGCATTTGAACCATAGAGCCCTCCACAGTTCTTTGAAAGGTAACAAAGAAATTGCAATGCCAGTATAATCTTCCTGCAGTTCATTTCCACTGTTGTTTTGCATAGAATACACTTAAGATTGCAGTTCTACTCAGTCTGCCATTGTTTCTCATTTTGTTGAATGATGCAGTTTATCATATTCCACTAGAAGGAACACATTTAAGGGATTTTGTGGTTGAAATAAAGTCCCTTAAAGCACAAAGCAGTTAGCCAACCAAATAATTGTCACTAGGACTTGACTGCATGCATCCGGGCACTGATCTAAGGAGAGGAAACCAGGTTTTGCTCATGATAACATTCTTCTCTGCATATTTTGGTTTCCAGTGAAACCTGAAGGCATTATATGCAAATGAACCACCCCACCCATCCCACTTTACTCAGCAGTTTTCTGCATTATCTTTCCTCCTCTTCACTGATGTTCCTTTCTATATGCTGAACTTAAGAGCTGCACTATGAAAAATAATTATGTTAAATTTATTTCCGAAAGACGGTTTGTTCTGTACATGTTGGGATATGTTTTAATTTATTTGTGTTGCCTCTTTCTGAACTGATTTTAAAGTGCTTCTTCAAAACATTCTAATGGTGATGTTCCTGTCTGTGCCAGCCTCCAAACAATTTTTCTTTGCTCATCTTGTTCTTGCCTTCCCACTGATGGTATAAGTAGCATCTGAGAGTCCATGGACAAGTCATACATGGATCTGTTTCCCTCCTTTTCTTGGATGATTTTATCTGCCAAGGAAAAAAGTCCTGCTTCTGATCACTTGAAATAAACTCCCATTTTGTCCCACTCTAGATCTCAAACAGGCCATTCTTTTCAGCAGTAACTGAGAGCAACCTAACCATTGTTTTTCAGTGGACTGAATCTATAAGGTCTGCATGTTTGCTGCAGGAACTAAAAACAGTGCTCAAAGTTGAACCAAGCAACATTTAAAGCTTTATATATTTATTTATAGCTTCATTTTAAAACTGTTAATGAGAAAGAAGATTGTTTCATTTCCTTTTCCTCAATAACTACTATAAAATGGACAAAGCAAAGTATAGAAACAGTCATCTAATTGATTTTTATCTGGTTCAAGACTGGATGTTAACAAACTGAATAAACCCTAAAACATTATTTGTGTGCATTTTATCTTTGCTTCCCAGATCCTGTTCTCCATTGATTTGGATAGTTCAAAGGCCTAACAAATTCCCATCGCTCTATTCCAGTTGATAGGAAAAGCCTAGAAATGCATTATATTAAAATGTTATGGGTACAGAACTGTCCCTGCAAAAAGAAAATAAAAGTAGGCAACACACTCATTATATCACTATTTAAATTCAGATGTTTGTGAATTCCTGTTTGATTATTTTAACATTATGTTCAGTATAAAAGCAGTATAAAACTTAACTTCAAGCTAACCCACAGCTTAGGACAACATGGCATTCTTCTAGTGTCACTATCAAATATTGTCAATGCATACAATTTGTTTTAATGGTCACTGGAAAAACTGCTCAGTATTTGGGGTATGCTTCAGTGATGTGATGCAATACATCCATACTCTATCAATTTGAAAGAGTATCCCACCAAAGCAGTTTTTTAATTGTAGGCAAACTTCCATGGCAGAGGCAAGAAATTAATCTCTGTCCCTGCTGCTTTGTCTGACAAGGCTTCTAAGAAAGAAATACCTGTGGAATCAGAGGTTGCTTTCTGTTCCTCTAGAATGCAAAGTCTAATTAATATGAAAGCACCATCTGGCTTCTGCTAATGGCTAGCAAAAGCTCCTTACATAGGAACAAGAGTAAATTAATGACTGCTGCAAGATACCTGCAGAGAGAAGGACACCAGCTCACTGCCTCATTAAATGTTCCTGCTGGGACCAGGCTCATGCCTCTGGGAGAAGGGAGGGAACAATGGAGGCAGATGCATGCTCTGTGGATCTTAGTCCACATTTCATTTGCACTGTGGCCCAAGATGCTGCTGCACCACATCAAACTTATCTATTTGTTACTAGTTTCAGGATGCAACCCCATGGCTTCTAGGCTGAAACTAGATGGCCATGCATTAGGGAAAAAAATCAGTTCCAACCTCAGAAATATATCCAGAGTTAGAACTTCAACCGTGGTATGCCCTCCCTCCACCCTGACAGCTAGAGCAGTTTGTCCCTCATCAGCTGTGGCTCTGCAACTTCAGAGCTAGAGAGAAGATCTGGGAGTGGGGAGGGGACAAATGAAGCTTGGCTGGGGTATAAGAATTCCTGGAATTCCTCCTTAGGAGCATGGGCAAAAGACAGATGGATAAAATTGGCCATCTATATCTGTTGCAGAGTGGGGAACATGCAGAAGTAATTCTTGCCTCCACACTTAGATGCCCATGATCCGCCAAATTGGGAGGGTTCCAAGCAGCCACACCTGATGGCACCCTCTTGCATTCATGCATGGACTGCATTTCTGCTGTTGTGTGTTGTCAAGTTGGCTTCTACCCAAGGCAACCCTATGAAGGAAAGCCTTCCAAAATGCCCTGTCCCAGACAGCTCCATTCAGTTCATCCAAGTTGGAGGCTGTGGCTCCTTTTATGGATTCAATCCATCTCGTATTTGATCTTCCCTGTCATCTTCTGCCTTTGACTTTCCCTAACATGATTGTCTTCTCCAGTGAGTCTTGCCTTCTCATAATGTATCCAAAATGTGACAGTCTCAGGATTTTTTGGAGGTGGGGAAGGGGCAATCCTATGCTGCCAAATAGCCAAAGTTCTCCAGGCAGTTTAGAAATATTTTTAAAAATGAACAATACCTATACATGGTATCACAAACTGTTTATATGCAGACATATGAACAGAAACGATACACATGTATCTGAACCTGTTCCTTTGGAGGAGCACCACCCCATCCAGATTCAACACCCTCCATCCATTAGCAGCATCTCAGTCTTGCTGGGATTATGTTTCAATTTCCCAGCCCAAGTCCAGGTCATTGTTGCAGCCAGGTAAGCAAATTCTTATAATAATCTGGAGAGGCTTGCAACTTTCATATGGTGAGCAAGCCTGTTCATTAATTAGTGAGTCCAACGCCTCTGAAACTAAGCCTTGCTAGAGAATTCCCCTGATTTTCCCCCTGGCTTGCTATTGTTGCTTTACTGCTTCTGAACTGTGCAAAATAAAATCTGTGTGTATGGTAGACTGTAAATCCTTTGGAAAAATACAAAGATTGGATATTTTATTTGGCTATATTAATTTATTTGAAGACTGTCCCAAAATGCCTCTGCCAGGGCAGATGACCACCACATGTGGATAAGTGTGCCAGTCCTGTAACACTACCTGCAACATTTATTTGAAGAGCTCTGCATCTTAATAGGAGTTAATTGCCACCAAGAAAATGCTTTGAAAGTCAGTTCTCTTACATTTATTGCCTTCGTTGAATTAGAAATAAAACACCTGTCCCAAAGGAAATTGTCTATTGTTAGCCTCAGATCCACTTTCCAACATGATTTAATGCTTCAGATGATCCATGACAATTCAGTTAACTATTATTATTTAAACTACATACATACCACTTGATATCATAACCTCTAAGATTTACATGAAAAATATAAAATATAACATAAAAACAATTATAAAAACAATATAAAACATTGAATAAACTGCGAAAATGACAGGAACAGTAAGACAGAACACTGCAATTATGCATCGGGAAAAGCCTAAGCAAACAGGTACCTTATCAAGAGATACAATAGTTTGCACTGCTTGGACCACACTTGGAAGAGCATTCCTGAGGGGGAGGGTCATGGCAGAGAAGACCTATTTAAGTGTCATGACTTGACAACATGCTGTTCACCATGGGATGATGAAAACTCATTCTCCAAACAATTTGCATAGCTTGGATACTATGCCCTTTAACCATAGAAATTTAGGGTTAGGATTTAAATTAGTCAAAATTAGTCAGTGGGGAAGTTGTAGAAGAGGACTATGTACAAGATGGTGCATTTGCAACACTGGAACTGATGTAGACTTACCTTCTGATTGAGATGCCCTGACTGATTGAGATGCCCTGCATATTCTGAATTATTCAAAAAAAAAAAAAAAAAAAAACCCGATTCAGTCCCTTTTCCTTCCAAGCTTTATAACAATATTCACTGCTTTTTTAAAAATCTGGATGAAATATAAAGGACGTTAAAGGGGATGCTGCAGGTACTAATATTTTTGTCCATCATTTCCATAGTGTAAAAGTTGCCCTAGTGAAAGGGTTTCTGATTCCATGTACATGTAGGCAGATTCTTATTTTATCTGTTTATTTATTTGATTTGTATCCTGACTTTCCATCAAGAAAATGTATTTCAAGGTGGCTAACAGTCATAAAAATAGTACTTTGCATATCTGTACATGCCTTCCTTATACAAGGAAAGTCTCCTTCTTGCTATACAATAATTAACTGATGGAATTGTACCATTTCATAATAGAAATTAAAATTTGGAAGGCTGGCCCTCTTTTCTTTATTTCTGTCAATTGTTTTTTTATTCTATCTAGGTCTTCCATCTCCTTCATGGATGACTGCCTTGTGGTGAAGGGGCTTGCGTAGCTCAGCTATGCCGTGCAGGGCCACCCAAGACGGACAGGTCATAGCAGAGAGCTCTGACAAAACGTGATCCACTGGAGAAGGAAATGGCAACCCACTCCAGTATTTTTGCCATGAAAACCCCATGGACAGTACCAAAAGGCAAAAAGATATGATGCCGGAAGATGAGCCTCTCAGGCCGGAAGGCGTCCAATACGCTACTGGGGAGCAGAGGGCTAGTACTAGTAGTGCCAGAAAGAACGAAACCACTGAATCAAAGCCGAAAGGACACGCAGCTGCAGATGTATCTGGTAGTGAAAGGAAAGTCCGATGCTGCAAAGATCTATACTCTATAGGAACCTGGAATGTAAGATCCATGAATCAAGGCAAGCTGTATGTGGTCAAACAAGAGATGACAAGACTGAACATTGACATCTTAGGAATCAGTGACCTAAAATGGACAGAAATGGGTGAATTTAATTCAGATGACCATCAGGTATACTACTGCGGGCAAGAATCCCTCAGAAGAAATGGAGTAGCCTTCATAGTCAATAAAAGAGTAGGAAAAGCAGTACTGGGATACAATCTCCAAAATGACAGAATGATCTCAGTTCGAATCCAAGGAAAACCATTCAACATCACAATAGTCCAAGTCTATGCCCCAACTACTGGTGCTGAAGAGGCTGAAGTTGACCAGTTCTATGGAAGCCCACAACACCTTCTAGAATTAACACCAAAAAATGATGTCCTTATCATCATGGGGTATTGGAATGCTAAAGCAGGAAGCCAAAAGATAACTGGAATAACAGGCAAGTTTGGCCTTGGAGTACAAAATGAAGCAGGGCACAGGCTGGTGGAATTTTGTCAAGAGAATGCGATGGTCATAGCAAACACTCTTTTCCAACAACCCAAGAGACGATTCTACACATGGACATCACCAGACGGTCAACACAGAAATCAGATTGACTATGTGCTCTGCAGCCAAAGATGGAGAAGCTCTATACAGTCAGTAAAAACAATACCAGGAGCTGACTGTGGCTCAGATCATGAGCTTCTGGTTGCAAAATTTAGGCTTAAATTGAAGAAAGTAGGAAAAAGCACTAGGCCACTCAGGTATGACCTAAATCATATCCCTGATGAATATACAGTAGAGGTGACAAATAGATTTAAGGAATTACATCTGATAGACAGAGTGCCTGAAGAACTATGGACAGAAGTTCGCAACATTGTACAAGAGACAGCAACTAAAACCATCCCAAAGAAAAAGAAACGCAAGAAAGCAAAATCGCTGTCTGAGGAAGCTTTACAAATAGCTGAGGAAAGAAGGGAAGCAAAAGGCAAGGGAGAAAGAGAAAGATAGACCCAATTGAATGCAAAATTCCAGAGAATAGCTAGAAGAGATAAGAATGCCTTCTTAAATGAACAGTGCAAAGAAATAGATGGAAACAATAGAATAGGGAGGGCCAGAGATCTCTGCAAGAAAATTGGAGATATGAAGGGAACATTTCATGCAAAGATGGGCATGATAAAGGACCAAAATGGCAGGGACCTAACAGAGGCAGAAGAGATTAAGAAGAGGTGGCAAGAT